GACATAAAATGTGCCCACCTCCCGAAGGGGAGACATAAAATGTGCCCACCTCCCGGATGTGAGACATAAGATTTGCCCACCTCCCGGAGGGGAGACATGAAATGTGCCCACCTCCGGGAGGGGAGACACAAAATGTGCCCACCTCCGAGGGGAGTGGCATGTTAAGGAAAATACAAAGGGGTGAAACGGAACCCATATGATAAAGAAAGGAGGACGGCAAACAAGCTACAACCAAGTCGCTACAATCAAATCTAATCCTTGAGGATGGGGTCGGCCATGTTGGGGTCGGACCCATGGAGTGCAACTCGTGTTTACTCTCCTTCATTAACGAATATTCGGCCCAACTCACCTCGGCCCAAGGCGCCCAGGTCCATAGCGAGCTCGGCCTAGGACGCCTCGGCACAAAGCTCCTCAGCCTAGGACACCTCGGCTACAATGGGCTCGGTCGTGGTGAGCTCGGCCACGTTACGCATAGAGGTCGGGTCGGGACATTTACTCTCTTTCGTTGTCGACTTCTCCAACGAAGAGAGTGGGGGACTCATGATGGATATATTATGATCGGAGCAAACCGACCCGAAGGAGCGGAGCAAGAAGTTGGAGCGGCCCAAGACGTCTCACCTCGGCCTCAGACGTCTCACCTCAGCTTAAGGCGTCTCACCTCCGTCTCAGACGTCTCACCTCAGCCCAAGACGTCTCACCTCAGCCCAAGACGTCTCACCTCGGTCCAAGGCGCCCAAGTCCATAGCAAGCTCGACCTAGGACTCCTCGGCACAAGGCACCTCGGCCTAGGACACCTCGGCTACAATGGGCTCGGTCGTGGTGAGCTCGGCCACGTTACGCATAGAGGTCGGGTCGGGACATTTACTCTCTTTCGTTGTCGACTTCTCCAACAAAGAGAGTGGGGGACACATGATGGATATATTGGGATCGGAGAAAACCGACCCGGGAAAGCGGAGCAAGGAAGTATGGAATAGACCCGGGGCCTAGTGGTTGGGCCCTGTGCTCGGCCCAAGGTGCCTCGGTCATGGTGAGCTCGGTCACAGGAGGTCGGTTAATTATCAACTTGGGGTGACCGCGTAGGAGTCGGCTCGCAATGTGTCTACTCTCTATCGTTGTCGACTCATCACAACGAAGAGAGTGGGGGACTCGTGATGGATATATTGGACCCGGAACGAACCGACCCGGAGAGACGGACCCGAGACGCCTCGGCCCAATCCCTTGGGCCGTGACCGGGTCGGCCCAAAGCGACTCGGCCATCGGCCGAGCCCGGCCACGGACGAGCTCGGTGCACCCAAGCTTGTCACCATGGACCCGGCTGCTGCCGAGCCGGTCCATGGTGGACTCCGCTAGGCCGAGCTCGGCACATGCCCAGCTCGGCCATGCCGAGTCGCCCCACTTTGGACCCGGTCCCGAAGGGGACGCGGTCAAAGCGGACCGATCTAACCACCCCCGGTTTTAGGGGTGCGGTTGGGGGTTGAGCTGATATAAAAGCCTCCATCTTGTCCTAAACAAGGACACAACATGTTCACTATTTTACACCTACTATTGTCCTGATCAAGCCTTGTAATAGCTTATTAGCGATATTTAATACAATATACGGTCCCCGCGACCTACGGTCCCTGCGACCTTGCGATATCCTTGCGTTACATTTTTTTTTTTTTTGAAAGTCCTTGCGTTACATTTATTTATTCCATATTACGTTCTTATCCGAATTCATTGATTCGGGTTTATCCCGGGTCAATTAAATCCATCAAATACAAAACAAAGTAATAAATTACATATATGTTAATATTGTGTAATTATGAATTTTTTAAAAATAAATTGTAAACATACATTTATCATATAAATTGTGAATATTTGAACCCAAATCTACAAAATAATTTGCGAACATGGGAACCAGGAGTTTTGGGTTAAGAATTGAGAGAATATGACAAGACATTTCGGATTCCGGTCCATGGAAGAAAAGATAATTGAAAAGATCGTCCTAGGTCAGTAGTGTTTTTTTTTTTTTCCTAATACATAAGTTTTTAAATTTAAGTAAGAGTATTCCTAACTTCTAATTTTTGACTTCAAGAGTTACTAGATGATGTAAATTCAAGTCATATTTTTCGTCTCAAAAGTTATTAGATTATATAAATTCAAGTCATATTAGCTTCTAGTTTTTTGTCTCAAGAATTACTAGATGATATAAACTTGAGTTGCATTAACACTCTTTCTCTCAACTTGGAGAGCCCAACTCCAACAATGTTTGAGATAGCGTTCGAACCTCTACCATATCGCTTCGAGTTGTGATATCACGTGATCAATCACTATGCAAGTCCTTAGACTCCTATGTTAATTAATAGTTATACCAATATACCATAGACAAAGAGTACATATAATAACATGAACTCCAGTTATTATCCCTAACCTTTTTTCAATTTACATTATTCCTCTTTATTTTTCTTTTTGTACAAATAAAATTAATGTATAAAAATGCATCATTAAAAACTCTAATTCAGAACTTTTAAATCACTCATATTGATATTTTTCAATATTTTAAGAGAAAATGATCAAATAGACCCTCAAACATTTGCTAAAAAGTCAATTAGCCCTTCAACTTTTTAAAGGTACAATTACACCCATAAACAATGTATTTTGATGCAATGAAGTCCAAATTAGGGATGGCAACGGGGCGGGGCGGGGCGGGGGCGGGGAGTATACTCCCCGTCCCCGTCCCCGAATCCCCAACCCCATCCCCGTCCCCGTCCCCATCCCCGGCGGGAAATTGAAAATAATTCCCATCCCCGTCCCCGCGGGGAATTAGGCGGGGACGGGGATTCCCCATCCCCATTAACTATTAATTAAAATTTTAAATTTTAAAAATAAATCGTAAGTTTTAATATATATATATATATATATATATATATATATATATATCTTATTTTTTTATTATCTATTTAATTATAAAAATTAATCGGGGACGGGGCGGGGCGGGGAGGGGTATCCCCGTCCCCGTCGGGGAATTGTTTACATTCCCCGTCCCCGTCCCCATTTCCCGAAAACTTTCTTTATCCCCGTCCCCGTTGGGGCGGGGATTGGAGATCCCCGCCGGGGACGGGGCAAATTGTCATCCCTAGTCCAAATACGGATAAATGACCTGCTATCATAGGTCATTGAAGATCCGGCGACTTTTTCGACGTGTTTTCAGGAAAAAAAAAAAAAAAAAGTGACCGGCGAACGATCGCCGGTCACGGAGAAGGCAACCCAGATCTGGGTTACCTTCTCCGGCGAGAAGGTGACCACAATGGTCGCCTTATCATCTAGAGAAGGCAACCCAGATCTAGGCTACCTTCAATTTTAAAATAGTCTAAATTCAACAATTGTTTTATTTTTTTTTCAAGTTCTAAATCGTAACAAGAAAACCATACATACTATTTCAATTGGATTGCTATAGTGTCCGGTTTGGTTCAAATCGAACCTTAGTCATCCCTACATATAAACAATAATTTTTTTTTCTCAAAAAAAAATAAATGAAATAATTATTTTAAGAAAAAATATCCATTTAACATCAAAGGAGAAAAACTGACACTTTTAAAATAATTGAGGAGACAAATGTGGATGCATGAATAACATGGGGTGGGTGGTGTGTGGGGGGAGGGGGGAATGCTATAAACCCATAATTCAATGAGAAAAAAAGTGTCATTTTCCCTTCATAAAATCAATAATTCAGGTCCATGAAGTCACTAGTGCATATTTTATGCTTGCAAAATCACTACTGTAAATTTATGTATGTATATAAGGGAGACTAATCAATAGTTGGGGGTTGTGGGGAAAAATGTGGGGTTATCTATATAAATATTAAAAACTTAAAAGTTTTTAATAATTGATAAAATTGACGTAATTTTTTAAAAACTAAAACCCAGTTGCCCTCAATAAGGCTAATGAGTCACTCGCCGAGAGTTAAACTTGTAACTTTATAATTACTAAATATCTCTTAAAATTATACAATAATCATGATTACATGTCAAATACTCAGTTTATGAACATTTAACTTTAAGTTTATTTGCGTACATATTCATAACTTATATAAACGGTGTTTTAGTAACACTATTTTTTTGCGCAACCAAAAATAACATTGGTACTATAAATAGGTATATAACTAGTATTTGCACTCGTGCGATGCACGCCCATATATATAATTAATAGAATATATAGTATTATATAAAAAAAAAAAAATAGCACAACATTTGAAATTTATTAGACATTATTGAATACTTCTTTCTATACGACATTCGCAGTTGTATTTTTAGATCGTACATTTTCTTCACAAATAAGTATTTTTAACATTAGACCGCCCCAATCGCACGCACCCGACCGCTGGAGAGGCACCCGCCATGAACGCTGCCCACGCCCAAGGGGCTGCTGCCGCGCCCACGGAACCTACTACTGTAACAGCTGTGCCTCCAATGCATCCGCCTACTGTTGTGCTAGATCAGAACGAAACAGCTGCACCAACGGCCATACCCCAGGTTGGTCTTACTGCTATACGAAACCAATGCTTCTTCAACGCTGCTTATTCTCATCACACGAACAAGGTAGCTGTAGGGGCAGTCCTCCTCGATAGACAAGGAATGTACATCTCAGCTCTACAGGCACCCATGGTAGACTGCTTCTCCCCTCTTATGGCAGAAGCGTTCGCATGCAAAGAAGTTTTGTCCTGGCTATGGGATCGTGGGGAACGATCTGTCGAGCTCTTAACAGATTGTTTAACACTTCAACAGTATTTATCACTTGCAATTAGTTCGCCTCGCTCATATCTTGGATATGCTATTGATAGCTGCAGAAACCGTATGGTTTCTTTTAACTACTGTTCGCTTCGTTTTATTCCTAGATCAGATAATTACTTAGCTCATACTTTAGCATCTACTGCTTTTCTTCAGTTAGCTACTATGTATTCGGACTCTGGTCCGTCAGACTCTATTGCAGCTTACTTTCAATAAATGTCGTACAGGCTCCTTTCAAAAAAAAGTATTTTTAACATTAGAATCAAATTTACATATATACCGAATCACTTCTGAGATACGTCTTTCCTTCAGCATTATATTATATTCATTCATGTATTCATTGACTGTATCTACCACATCCAAAGTTGGGGCCAAAATTGCACGATCTTTTAGATATTTAAGATCTCTGTTGCCCCTACGAAACCTCGGGAATATGCTATCAACAATTGTAGAAATAGGATCCTCAACACACGTTAGTAAAAAATTTTCAGGAATATTTATCTCACATTCTCCATCCATTGAATCACCAATTGTTCCATCACCTATATTAGCAATCCACTTTGCAACTTCACTATCTGATTGCAAGGCCCTAAGCCTTAGATTCTTTGTTAGCCTAAATACTTTACACCTTCTCCAAAGATAGGATGAATTTATACTTGCTTCCACAATATCTTGTCTCGTTGGAATTACTGGTAGAATCTGTCTGAAATCTCCACCTAACTCCACGATTTTTCCACCAAAAGTCATATCAAAGCTGTTTGGATTTTTAACACGCATTATATCTCTCATAGTTCGGTCCAAAGCTTCAAAGCAGAATTTATGCATCATTGGTGCTTCATCCCAAATTAAATAATAGTGCTTCAAAGTGAATTCTTCAATTAGTAGAAGTCTATTTATTTTACTTAGTAACCGAACATAGTAGCCGGATAATGCACATTGGAAATCCAAAGGTCATGTGAACACAATCAATTCGACACATATAACTAATCACTTAAAAAGACGCAGTATAGTCTAGGCGGAAAGCTGTTTTAAGGAGAAAGTTACTGCTTTATTATAATGATAGATAGATGATAGATGATAGATTGTAATTATAAGTACATAATATGTTAAGTATATAATTATAAAATCAATACGTTAAGTGTACATAATAAAAACTTGATAATTTTTAACCAAATATATTTTAAAATCACATCATAATCATGATTACATGTACAACACTCAATTTATAAAAATTTAGCATGTTTCTTTACCTACAGTAATCACATATTTTGAATTTAGAACAATAATTACTTAACATGATACATTTAACAGAGTATGTATCCATACTTAATTATGTACCTATTGCAAATGTGAATGACGTTATTTTGAACCAGAAATAATTACAATGCAAAGTGAACCTGATCCACGGTATAATTTACCTTAAACCTTAATGAAGAATTGAAGATTCAACAATATATATAATTCGAAATTTTAAAATTTTATTTTTAATCTTCCAACAGTAACCTCCATATTTTTCAGTTTCTATTATAACCTTTGGCTTCGGTTTCCATTTCTTCCTCTTTATTGTTTCCCTCCCTCTGTCCCTCAATTTCTTGTACATTTCACTCTCCCCATTAATTACAGTAATTTTTTTTTCCTTTCATTATTTCTTTTCCCAAGTTAATTTAAACAAAAAAATATATATTTTTATCGTATTTTATTTGTTAATAAAAAATAAAATACATTTATATACCCCTTCTCATTCCTGATAGCGTAGAAATAATTATGGCTCTACAAAAAATACATTATTTCTCAACAGTTGTGGTTTTCTTTGCATCTTTGTTCTTTCCTTCCTACGACGCTTCGGAGTTCGACGTCGGTGGCAACGACGGCTGGGTTTTAAACCCTTCTGAAAGTTATAGCCATTGGGCTGCCCGTATAAGATTTCAAGTTAACGACACTCTATGTAAGTTTGTTTTTCTTTGAGTAATGTTTTTCGGGGAATCCTATGAAGTTTTCTTGCATGTTTCTTTGTTGAATATAAAAGCAATATGATATTTATAGACATTTTATAACTTTCTTTTATTTGTCAACTCGATTTAATGTTGTTTTCAATCATATTTGTAAATTTAATGGTAGAAAATAAGATTTGTGGAGTAATGTTTAAAAAAAAAAAAAAAAAGCAAAATTATTCCAACTTTTTTAGTTTTCAATTATGTTTATGATTTGAATGTGAAATTACTACTTATTCTTTATTTTTTTTAATAAAATATATGAATATTATTTGTTAAATTAATACAAAAAGATAGAATTGAAGCAGTATTTGTTTCGAAAATCAAATTTAATTTTCAAAACTGTGAAAAGAAGTAGTCGTTAAAAATAGGTTTATTTGTTTGAATAGTGTTTAGGTACGAGAAAGGATGCGAATCGGTGTTGGAGGTTGGCGAGGAAGATTATGAAAAATGTAACGGCGAAAATCCGATGAAGAAAATGGACGATGGATATTCTGTTTTGGAGTTGGATAGATCTGGACCGTTCTATTTCATTTCTGGAATTCAAGAAAACTGTGAAAATGGACAAAAAATTGTTGTTGTTGTTCTTGCTCCCAAACACCATAATGCTCCTCCTCTTGATCCGCCGCCGCCGAAAGGCTGTTCCTCAACGGCTTCGCCGCCCGGCGTGGGGGGCGTGGCTCCCTGGGCTAGTCCTCAGAATGGGTCTTCGGTGACTTCACCATCTAGCCACCGTCCCAGCGCCGCTCCGCCTAAAGGGCCTTCGGGTTCTCCGCCTGGAGACGCTCCGACAGTTGCTCCTGCAGTGCCGCCGGCATTTAATGCACCAGCGAAGCCTCCGGCGGCGGCGGGGACTCCCGAACCACCTTCGCCAAAGCCATCTTCTTCACCGGCTTATTCTGATACTCCTTTACCAACGACGCCAGTGTCGCCGACGAAATCTCCTCCGGCGGGAGAGGGTTGTAACGGTTCGAGTATCCGAAGCGATCCGGCGAATGTTAATAACTCGCCGGCGGGTTCACCTCCACAGCCAACGTCAGCGGCAATCCATCTTTCAGCCATATTGGTTCCAACCTTCATACTTACTATGTGTTTTGCATTTGGAGAATTTATTATTTTTTGTTAAATTTATATATTAGGTTTTCATTAGGTTTTTTACTTTCAAAAAAAAATATATTAGGTTTTTAAGTATTCGGGTATTAGATTTTATTTTTTCTATGTATTCCGGTTTTTTTTTTTTTTTTTTGGAACAAGGAGGGATGTATTCCGGTTCTTTAATTTATTGTAATCTTTCAGTTCATCATTAATAAATTAATAAATAATTAAATATCTTTATAACTTTTGGCAGATAATTTTGTCAAGCTAGCTAAGGTATGGGCATCTTCAATAGCAATGGATTTTTGGTGATTTTTTAAATGCTATAGGAGAGAGATGATGAAAAAAAAAAAAAAAAAAAAAAAAGAGAGAAGAAAAAGAAAAAGCAAAAAAAAAATGAAATCTGCCCAAAAAAATAAAAATAAAAAACTGTAAAAGTTGTGCTTTACGCGCCTACTGGGTGCGATAATTGCGCCTGACGCGCAAAGGTGCGCTGCATGCCTGCATTATTACTTTACTCACCAATTGAGGGCCCACAAAAATCCATGTATGGCAGGAGAAAAATACCATTCAAAATCCAACCCCCACATTTGTTAAAAACTCAACATCTCATTTTTACTGATCCAAAATCCTTGTAAAAGTATCTATTGGGGATGCCCTAAAGATTTGAATATATGATTATATTTGGGAAAATGTAATTTTAATTCTTAAATTATGGTTGAATAGAGATTTTAGTCTCCAGTTTTTTAGCTTCAACCATACAATTACTAAAGTCTATTCCTTCAGCCAACCAAACATCATAATACAATTCATATTCTATTCCTTACATATTCCATTCCATGTGAAATAGCATGCTGTAATTTTATTCAAGTATACCAGGGACTGCAATTGTAACATAAGGATTAAATGCACTTTTTTTAGAATTAATTTTATTTTTTGTCCTAGATTTATAGGTCACACTTCACTTTTAGTTCTTTTTTATTAGAACATCCACCTTTGGTCCTAGTATTATTGTGACATAATAATTTTTTGTGTCCTCTGTCAACAAAATTGTTAAAATGTCATTATGCAATGACATTTCGATTTTTTTTTTATTATATACAATGACCCGCTATTTTTTACTTTTTATTTTTGAAAAAAAAAAATCCCTATTTGAAGATCAAACGCCCTTTTATTTAAGAACATTTAAACAATTTTGTTATAAATGACCAAAAATGTCAATACCACAATAATACAGTACCAAAAGAGATGCTCTAAACAAAAAATAAAAAAACAAAAAAGAACTAAATCTAAGACAAAAAATGAAATTAACTCTTTTTTTAATAACGATGAAAATTCGCATGTGCACTTTTTTTTTTTTCTGTTTTTACATTTCAAAAATATTTTTAAAGAAGTTCATAGAGTTAATTTTTGAAAATGAATCTTTATGACGTCAAACTAATTTAAACATCAAAATTAGATTATTAAAAAAAAAAAAAAAAAAAAAAAAACTTAGTAAAACAATTCTTTTAAAGTTAACAATGACTTTGATAAGAAAATAACACATTTAGTCTGCTCAATTGTTATATGTTGTGAAATCTGTTTGGACCTTTGTGACATGTATCCAAATTCCAATTCCATTTTTCTCTGAAATATAATTTTTTTGAAATTCTTCTAGAATAAAATTAAAATTAAAATTCAAGGCTGCATTTAAATTCAAAGTTTTCTTATATACCATTCTTAAATACTCAAAATTTCATACAACAGTAAAATATCAAGCAAGCTTTTTAAGAAGAAATGCTCAAATTGATGTAACATTTTTCTTCTAATTAAGTTACAGAAAAGGGGATAATAATATACTAACAGAGAAGCCTCATAGATGATAGAACCCAGGAAGAATTGTTTGTTTCACCACTTAAAAGAACCACCATCGTTTTTTCTGCACCAAATTAAACCATTTACTTACCAATGATAAATCATAAACCATTTTACACAGAATAATCTTACTTAGATGGAATAAAGGGGAGAAAAGGAAATGAGTTTTCATGAGTAAGCAAAGAATTGCACCTTTCGGGTCACATTTTGTCGGCTTAGCACGATAGGCGTAGAGAGGACACCATTGTCAATTTTCTGAATGTATGGTTGCACCTTCTCCTCCAGCATTTTGTTTAGCTGAATTTCATTAAATGTTAGGGTTACTATCATGAAAACTTTATCAACGACAAATGATGACGTCAGATAAAAGGCAGATCAAGCCAATAGACATGTAATACCACTAAATCTCCATATATTTAGCAAAAACAACAGTTTGGTTCTAGATTACCCATAGAAAAGGAAAAAGGAAATATTAATGTTGAACCTTCATGACTAGTTAAAGTTGTACAGAGCAAGCAATTCCACATCACCCAAACAAAGAATGATGCACATTTATTTCCAGCGCAAAGAATTTTGTTACTGACCTTTTCTTCCCGCCAATTTGCTTCCCACTGAGCATCCAGCATCTTCTCTGCAATTTCCCTTTGAGCATTAAGAAGTACCGTCATTTCATAGAGTGTTTTTGGATCTTTGAGATCCTCTTCACTCCAAGAAGATGCATTAAGTGGAAGGTTCAACTCCTGTAGATGGTTTCATAATGAAATGAACAATTGAAAATAAAGCCAACAGTTATTCATTCAGGTCATATATCAGTCTAAACTGAGACAAGCTCATTATGAATTACAGCAACAAATTTGTTTTCCATAAGTTTAAGTAATTTAATCTTGTGAGCTTAGTAAAAATAACATTTTAAATTAAATAAAGCTAATAGACTTACTCCCCAATTTTGAGGCCGTGGTGGAGGGTGAAGTTTCATTACTTCAGATTCTAAAGTCTTCTTGGCCCTGTAATAAGGAATATTTTTCACAATAACAGGATCATCCCTAGCACGGGCAGGATCGATTGAGATCAAGGCCTGTAGAAATTTTTTTTCAATAAAAATTTGTTTCAACCATTTATAGAATGTATCACAATAAATCACCGTACTTCTTGCAAATACTCCCATCCAGGCTTTCGCTTGGCAACCTCATCTCTTAGTTGATCATATCGCATAGATTCCTAAAGAATTAAAAATAGAAACATCACGAGTTAGTTACCAATGACTTCACAAATTCACAACATGTTAGATATTCTAAAAAGATTCAATATGGAGAAATGCATCTTGCACAGGATAAAGTGAAGATTCTGCATCTCAATTTGTAAATTACCATTAGTTTATTTGATGTTTCAATTGTCTTAAATGCTAATTTACTAGAAAAAGAATTTGAAACTTTGTGCAAGGATGTAATTAATATAACAAGTGGACCGTATTCCCATATATCTATTATTGGATTTCTTTCTATAAAATTGAAAGGATAGGAAGCTGAAAATTAATCATAATATAATGAATGGCAACACATACATGAAGTTGGACTTAGTTAAGTACATTGAAAGATTAATTACACAAACTGATTAAAACTCAATTAAAAACACTCAAGAAAACAGTTCAAGAATGCAGCATAAGCATATAGCCCAACATAAACCTGTTTTCTTCTATTGCTTTCATGGATTGAGTTTCTATATCTTATGTGTACGTGTATGTGTGTGAGAATTCTTGCTCTACTGAACACTATAGATTACTATAAGCTAAAATAGATTTGTAAACATAAAAATACACAACCAGAGTTGCATGTAGGTTCAACATGCGCATAATTGCATGTAGATTCAGTGTTTTATTTTAAATTCAAACATAAATAGGACACTTTTCCAGAGTCGCAGTCCTGGCACACTCAAAAACCAGTGATCAAAGGAACAGAAGAATCTTAGTAAATTAGTAATGAAATTTTGGATGCCAAAAATAGGATGTGAATTTTCAAAATCTTGTCCTATAAGATTAACAAGTTATACATTAGCTGATATAACAGCCAACTAAATATTCAGTGCTTGTTGAGTCAAATTTTTATCAATCAGTTATTTCTCAGAAGGTGTAGCCGTGTGGGTTTACCAAACAAAATGTCTGTGAGCAAATGAACATACATATTTGAGAAGTCGATAATGTAATCTATTTAATTGTTAAGATTAATATTCATTCACTTTCTTTCCTTCTCTTATGTTTGGAAAGCAGAAAAAGACGTTGGTTTAAGAAAGAGCTTGGAGTGATGGACGCTTTGAGCCTTTGACCCTTGGTAAATGAAAATCAAGACAAGCTAATTTTCTTGCTAAATAGCTAAAAATGGGCTACATAGAATAGAAATTCACACTAGGGTTTGCAATGAAATACAGATGTAAACAGAAGTGAACCTTGTATTGCCACCAAATCTTCCTCTTGACATCATCATCATATTCAAATCCTCCCACAACTTGAGGCAAGGTAATCAACCAAAATTCGGCAATGCTGGGGTTTTTCATACTGTCCACTATATGCTGCAATCAAAAGCAGGATTCAGAACTATGAAATCTTAAGGAAATTCTGAACATTAATACAGAAAAATCGAGCAATGCTACATGATCTTGGGTTCTTCAAGGTCAAAACACACTTTAGCTCTCATCTTCTGACTTTCAATTTCTTGCAAATACATAAAGTGGGAAACGATTTCATATCCTAAACCAGGAAAAGAATAATTTACACTGCAATTCACCCTCTCCAATGGCTAAAGCTAGAAATAAAACTGCAATTTACATACTACAAGAACCAGTACAAAGTGCATGCCTTATTACACTTGAACATGTAGGACTTTTTTAAAATAACAATTCAAATGAAGAATGATAAAGTATCATCATTAACAATATTCATCCTTTGCATGTTTGATGTATTCTAGTGCAAGTTAATGTTTGCCTTCTATCCATATTAATGATGTGTAGTCATATAACAGACAAAGAAGTTCAAATTATTGTTAACAATTGACATAGAAGTAAAAATGGATAAGATAACACTAGCCTCATATGGGTAGTCCATCTTTCTCATTATGTTATAAGGTATCCATGGAGGCTCCATTATCTGTGGTAAGAGAATACAAACATGAGAAATAAAAAACATAAACTGATGAAGTTTTAAATTTACCCTGAAATTAATCTTGCGATTGAACTCACATTATCTATAGATATCTTTATTGGTAACTTGTCTTTGCATTCTGGGCACATCATAGAACCCTACAGAATAAGTGATCAAGTAAACATTAAATGAAATTACAATTTGGGAGCAATGGAGCATAGGAAAATATTTCACAGAACTTTTTGAAATATAAAAGTATAATAGTTCTCACAGTTCCATCGCAGTTTGGACAATCTTTATATGGCAATGGCAAATGAAGGTCCACCACTGAAGGAAAGTGCACTAACTCAGCTCGATTATCTGCTATGGCATCTGCAATGGATTCAGCTGTTGGCTTCTCTCCCCTGCAGATAGATTTTTGAAATATAAGAAACACTCTGGCTTGTTTGTTTCTTCCCTTGAGTTTGGGGAGGAAAAAAAGTGGTGTAACAATCAAGTAGGCCATCAAATTAGAGTAAAAGTGTTGCAAGGGAATAAAGCCGTTTTGAACTTATAGAGTTTACAACGTGCATATCTACTTGAATGAAGAGGAAGGGTCACAGCTCAGAATACTTGTAATAAATCCGTAAAGGACTATGGAACTGATGAACATAAAAAGATCAGTATTTTTCTCAGGATGGGAGTTCTGACTACATCTTATTACATCAAAAGATTATTGCATCAGTGGGAACCTACCTTCTCAGGCGGTAATCTTTCACCTGGTATTGCACCATCCCTGACCCCTTGCACATTGTGCACTGTAAAGCCTTCCACCCATTGCAGGTCCTACAGTCACTGCAGCTCAAAAGCAGGTTTCAACAATATCCTGTTATTATTACCTTCATGTAAACTGAACATATTTAAGTTATATTAAGCCCAGCCACGACTACTTAACTACCTTGTACAAACCAACTTCTTCCCCAGCTCCAGCGCAATATCATACGTTCCAATGGTAGCTATTGCCTACACTCCAATTCAAGCAATATACGTGAACAAGAACCCCAATTCAATAAAAACTAAGCACACAGACCCCGAACTGACAAATGGACGAACACATGGTGGCCCATTCCGCCAAAAGCAAAGGCCAATAAAACCAGCGTCAAAAGACTAAAATTTTTCCAAGGAATCAATCAGGTTGGAGACTTACGAAGACTGTGCAATAGGAGAGCTTAGAAATGAGCTCGGGGACGCCAAAGCCGCGTTGGGCGGAGCCAGCAATGTCGAAGGGGAGCGTGAAGGGGGTCAAGACCACCTTTACTGGGAACTCGAGAATGTCCCTAATTTGGTGGCCATAGCGCTTAGTGAAGAGGGTGTAATGAAGGTCAGCGAATTTCTTCACCTCCCTCAGCATACGCTGCGTGCTTTGCGACATTGGAGCCGGTTGAAAGCGGCAGAGTTGCAGATAGAGAGAACAGATAGATAAAGCGCAGATACAAGAGATATATTTACTTGAGCATTTAAATTTTTCTCATAAATTAAAAATTAACATTTTTTTTTTATTTTTATCCCTATAATTCATTATTTTTCTAATTTTATAATTTGCACAAAATTACAACACCTTCCCAACCGGTTTGGTGGAAAAGAATTAGAATTTGATTCTCACCTAATTTTGAAGACGAACAAATTTCTTTGTTTGATTGAAAAAATTGTAAATTCTTTATTTTCACGAAATTAGAATTTCATGTATTTCTTAGTATTATAATTTATATCAAATTGCATGGTTAAGTAAATTTTAAGAGTTATTAAATATCTTATAGTGATACAAATTTATATTTAAAGTGAACGATAAATCTAAAAAATGTGAGCACATTCCCAATAACAAATGAATTGCATTATAATTTTGACATAAATTTAATTATCATTTAATAATAATAATAATATAAGCATTCGGTATTTATACTACTTATTCTCTTTTCATTCCCATAGATACCAAACACTGGAATTGAAAATTTCAATAATTATATTTTTGCAAGCTAAAAACGGGAATTTGCTAAGCACCTTGTACTCAGATGTCATGTAGTGACTCTCTCATATGGGAGCTCATGATATTGAGCCTCAATGGAGGCATTGTTGAGTCTTTGTGCTTCAACAGACTGAGAAAGTATAAATGAACAGATACTACAATATAATAGAGTCAGTAGTACTCAAAAAAAAATTTAAAAATAAATAAATAAATAAACAGGAATTTAAATTCTCACTTTATTCACAACTACTATTCATCACTCATAAGCATCAACTTTGAGTGAGACATTTTCCTCCCTCAATAGTCGGATATCATCACTAGCCGCCTCTTGCAGCGTCCATATGTACGTCTCCAAGGCTTTGAGACGCACTGCCAGGTGCCTAACTTCCGTGTCAAGGTCACCCGCAATCAAACTGGTCCCCTCCGCATGCCTTGAGGTTTCTAACTCGTCACGAGGATCAACACTACGTCCGCCAGCAGCGTTCGTGAAGTCATCGTCGTCCTCGCCACGCTTGCTCATCATCTTGTACCGGCTTGAGCCCAACCAGGCTTTGATACCAACTGTAATGAGTCGAATTCTCAAAACCAACTGGTTAACTCGCACCCACTCGGCCTACCTCCAAACCCGAAGGTAGTCAACTTTTCACCCACGCCAAATCCCGTGTTTATAACACTTTATTAAGTAAACCAGCAAAGAAAACACGGGCTTTTACGGACTAACTCGCCCAACCTTGTATATTCAAAATCGGGATGTACACAAGATCCTCACAACACTCTAAAACCAAGAGCTTTACAGCTAAAAACCTGACCAACACTTAACTCGTAGCCTTTGCTCTCTACTACACAACCTAGCTACAAAGTAAGGCGGTTACAAGCCAACCGCTTAGCTTTATGAGAGCCAATAACACGCTGCCACACCGCTAAGGTCTGGAACCAACTCACATGCTTCGCAGATGCTTGGAACTTCCCAACGACCGTCCCTTCAAATTTAAGAAGGGTACGGTTTTGTTGGAAAAATTCAAAGAGGAATATGGAGAATTGAATTAGTAGTCAATCTGCGTAACTTGCGCTCCATTTAGAGAAGTCCATCTGATCGCTTCTTCACGTGGCTTAGGCCATCGACTTTGGCGTTAATCTGTGGACATCTCTCCCTTCATCTTTGTGTGGCTGAGATGGAGGAACTACTTACTATATAAGTTGCTCCTACCGTCACTATCAAAACACACCTGAATTTGAGTTATTTATTCTATTCCTCTTCTCTCTTCCTTCGCCTAAGCAATAGTGAGGTTCACATACATGATTGCTAGTGCCAGCTATTCGTAGTAGGTCTGTGTAGCCTGTCGAAAGCGTGCTAGGATTCTAACTGCACCGTTACCGGGCAAATAACGCTTTTAAGATAGTGTTATTATAACACGGCACAGATTTCCTTTCAACCATACACCCGTAGCGTCCGTGCTTCTTAAAAGGCTTCCAGATCGCGCGTTGACGTTGCGACTATTTTCCAACAGTTAAAAGCGTTAGTGTGCAACAGTCAATCTTTAGCGTTATGGCACCTTATGTCATACCCGATCTATCAAAGATCACTGCGCTTGATGGGAAAAATTACAGTAGGTGGGCTCAAAGAATGCATATCCTCTTTGAACAATTAAAGTTGGTTTACGTGCTATATTCAGTTGCACCTGAACCTACTCCAACAGTGTTCTCTCCTTTTGGTGCTACAAAAGCTAACCATGAACCTGATTACACTCCAGGTGAAGAATTGAGAGAAAGCAGTCCCGAAATAGATTACATTCCGGGTCGAGAACCGGGTGTAACTTTGATGCAGTTCAGAAATGACAATGTGGCAGCCAGAGGATACCTTCTGTCACAAATGAATGACGATTTGTTCGACATCTATGTCAAACATGACTCGGCAAAAGTCATTTGGGAATCACTATCAGAAAATTACGGTGCCAATGAAACTGAAAATCAAAGTGTCAGAACCGTCTACAACAAAAGGAGTAGAAAAGTCAAGAAGTTCAAAGTAAGATGTTTTGCGTGCGGAAAGCAAGGACACCCGAGCATACCAGTGCTACCATCGCAAGGGCAAAACTAGCAAAAGTCAATCTGATAGAGCAAGATGAGTATTGAGTCTCTTTAAATAAGTAGTTATTTTGAGTAACTATAGTTGCTCTAGCTCTAAGGACTCGCATGAAGTATGTTTTTCTTAGTACTAAATACTAGTTGGGTTGCCTAGGTTTGATTACTTAGCAGTACTTATTTCTTTAGTAAATTGAATACTGATGACATTGATTGAAATGATTTGTGCATAGATATTGCTCAAATATTTTACTAAAATAATATAAGAGCATATATCAAAGGCTTCAATTGCAATTTAATGAGAACATAGAAACGTCATCATTCTTGAACACTCTGTTGAGGAAGATGGTTTTTAAGTAAACTTCGATTTCACCACTCGACCTGGGAGTGCTTAAGAAGTAGGGTGTTGATCATGCAGGCTAGTTAGAGCGTCACTTGATCTCCACCTGAAATGAGGTTGACTTTCATGTTAAACAATCAAAACCTTGCAATAGAAATTGTTGAAGTACTGCAATAGTAATATTGATCTGCATCATATGAATGCCTTATATGAGTCTCAATCTCCTCAAGTGAAGAAAAAGTTATGCAGGTGGTGAGTTTGAGTGTCAAAATTATACTTGTTGATGAATTCACCTTGTTGAGAGATATTTTCTAATAAATGTTAGTCTGAACATATTATTTGCATATGAGATTAATATCTTGTAAGAATATGATGTGAAATTTGTGATTATGTTATTCGACTTGAAGTAGCATGTGGACAACATTATCTCTATGGCTTACTAACAATGAGCATTTGTTTATATATTATTTAAATTCTTGGTTGAGTCATATTGAAATACCTATAATTCCTATTTAAAGAGTAATTATGATGAGTTGAGATAACCAAGTTTGTTGAAATATATTCAACTGTTGAGTATGTATTAGGTAAAGTGCGGAGCTACTATAATACTCCACAGAGGAAATTAGCAAAACTCAATCTACAAAGGAGCTAATATTACGACACCAAAGATCAATCTGGGTAAGAGATCAAATACCTTTGAGAAAAATATTTGTACAATACTACAATTCTTCATTTTCTCAACATAATGAAGGAGTTAGAGAAAAGGCAAATGAAAAATCAAAGAAGAAGAAGAAGTCTATATATATACAATACTAAAACTCTTCATTTTCTCAACATAATGAAGGATCGAGTTAGAGAAAGGGCAAATGAAAAGTCTAAATATAGTGGCCATCAATATATATATATATTTATAACAACTTAAAAGTTTTTCCAACTCAAATGGGTACAATTTTATAATAAATTTTTCATTCTTCAATTATTCATTTTGGGCATATAATATATCAAATTCATACTCTCAACTAGGAGAATATAAATCCTCCTTGACCCGGCTCAATTGGAAGTGAATCCTCACTGAAAAGTATGCTATAAAATAATCACTTCAAAAATTTAAATGTCAATTTAAGTAATTTTTTCAAACAATGACGTCTTATCATTTTATTGGATATATTTTTATATTTAATTACTCCGTATTATTAGAAGTGACCAAGGTTCGATTCGAACCGAACCGTGCACTGTACTAACCGACCGGAATCAATAAGGTTCTAGTTAAGGTTCTCAAAATACAGGACCCCGACTCCGATTCCAAAAAAAAAAAAAAATTATATAAAGCATAGCATACTGCCGCACTGCGGGACAGGTGACCGGCGCAAAGGCCAAATTTTGGCCGGCTTGGCCTTTGGCCTTTGCGCCAAGAGTAGTAACATACAAAAAAAAATAAAAAAATAAAAAAAATAGTCTGGTTACGATTCTAACCGAAACCGCCCAAATAAGGTTTCGGTTCCGACTATCTTGGAACCGCAAACTGACGATTCTGAACCGAAACCGAATCTTGGGCACCCCTGCGTATTATATAGATTCTTTGTGATTTAGGAAAGGGTCCATTTGTAAGTAATCCATGGAAATAACTAAATTTTCTTTGTAATCAATGCCGCTTATATAATGATTTTAGTAGGAATTAAAAATAAAAAAAATAATTAAAAAAATCAAAATAAAATAAACTAAAGATGTGCTAACATGCATCAATATGCAACATTAACCTAGGGGACTAAATTTCTAAATGACATATATTGACTAAGATATTTCATTCAAAATTGCTTTGATATGGAATATTGATCTCAGAGATCTTATATTTCAAATAAAAAAATAAAAAAATCAAATATTATCAGTTGACAAAATCTTTATCTCCGTAAGCATCCATTCTTAAGCTTTAATTTAAAGTAGTAGAAACTTTCTCTACTTGTAATAATTTATATATCTTTCCCTTTTTCATTTGTATGTAAAAATTCTTAGGACATTTGTGCTGGCATATATGCCATTGATGGTGTTAGCTAGCTAGTGTAGCATATGAACAAGAACCTGAATTTGATTCCACCTAACAATACCTAGCACTAAAGCAGCATTCACGCAAAATGCTCGCACAGATTTAGTTTAATGGTTCAGTAGGTATTTAGGAGAAAAGACCATGGTTCGAATCTTGGCGGTGAAAATGTAGGATTATGTTCAAAGTGGGCAGATCCTTTGTGCGCACCATTCTTTGATCTTGTCTACTGAACCATTGAGCCATTGTGTGTACCAGCATTTAGTTCTGTCTATTAAGTCAGCGTGATTACATCATTTTAAATGTTCTGTCTGGTTAGGGTGCGGGGCCTACACAAATAATGTTTATTTTATATATATTCCTTGTACGCACAACATAAATAATGAATGATCCATGTCTCTCGGCTCACAACTACAATAATATTATATATACGTTTGATGACATTGATGTAATAGCGATAGATTTCCTAAATCTTTCAATCCCACTATATTTCCCCTCTTTTCCGCCCTTAGCTTGAATATAAGCACATGTATAATTAAATGTTTAAAAATATTTTTTTTTATTGGTACATTAATTAACTTTCTTTAAAAAATTAAATAATACTCCGTAATAATACTCATATACACGTGACGCGATAATTATCATGACAAAGAAAATGATATAAGGTTAATTATTTGATGATAAGACACTTTAAATTTTTTTTTTTTTATAGTTATATGCATATATTGAGATTAATTTTGAAATATTTTATTAAGGTAAATGTAAAGAAATTATACAATACTAATTGCAACAATGCATGGATGATAGTAAGGGGGTGTATTCTATTGAATTTTTATGGACTTTTAAAAACTTTAAAAGTCGAGTAGGGGTGAAAATAGGTAAATCATATATATATATATATACACACTAGTTTTTTACGCGCATTGCGCGATTGGGATAATGCCCAATGTTTTTTTTTTAAAAAATAAGTACTTTAAAGTATGTCAAGGTAAGATTATATTGGAATTGTTCATTCATAGATAATTGATTATTAAATTTGCGTATTTAAATAGACAATTTTAATTTTACAAATGCAAGATAATATAGTCAAAATTGATTATAATTGTCAATAAAATAATTGTATTGGTATAGTTGAAACTAAATACGGGACATAATGGGATAACAAATAAAAATTAGGGCATAAAATATTAAATATATACTAATATTGAAGAGCTAACTTCTGATTGCCAAACAATGACATTGCGAGATAGTTTCTCACTTCAATTTGTTGTGTGATTTGAATACTCTTTTTGTCAATAAATCTCCCAAGTAGTTAATATGATTAGCTTAATTATATATATATATATATATATATATATATATATATATATATATATATATATATTTTAAAACAATCATCATCATCATCATCATCATTATTATTATAATATTATACCATTAGGTCATTTTACTAACCGTTGATATAATTCGCTGGTCAAATTCACAAATATAATCCACTAACGCTAACAACTAACTACTGATTGTCAAACAAGGACATTGCGAGGTAGTTCTCACTTTAATTTGTTGTGTAATTTGAATACTCTCTTTGTCAACAAATCCCTCAAATAGTCAATATGATTGACTTTATTAATTATATTTTTTAATTTTTTCATGGTATTAATAAAATACTTGGTAAATAAATATATAGCATTATTTTTTATTATAACTTTGATATTTAATTAAAAAATAGTGCACAAAAAAGATAATAGACAATGTAGTGAATATAATCAATTGATGAATTTGAATGTAAAGAATTTTTACATTGGAGAAATATAAAGACAATATAACTAATAAAGTTATTTCTCTTAATTAATTTATTGATAATGAATAATTTTTTTAGTAAAGACATTGTAGGGACAATGTAGCGAATATAATCAATTGATGAATTTGAATGTAAAGAATTTTTACATTGGAGAAAAATAAATACAATATAACTAATGAAATTATTTCTCTTATTTAATTTATTGATAATGAATATTTTTTTTTGAATAAAGACATTGTAGACACATAATTCTAAATTAAATAAATGCATATGTATTATTTTTTGTTGTAGCTACTAAATTATTATTTAATTTAATAAGAGTAAAAATAGAGTACTAATTATGCCAACTTTGATTGAGATGGGGTTCGAACCTAAGACCTTTCTTATTGAAATCAATGAGTAAGTTAACGGTGAACTAACAGAAATTAACGAAAAAGATAATATTTAACGGAAAAGTTAACGGATAATCATATTCATTAAGGATAAATTAGGAATCTTAAGGAAAAATTAAAATTTGAGCCATTCATTTGATTAAAAAACTTGACCGTCATTTTTTCTACCCATTATAGGCCTAACTCTCTTGGGCTCTTATATATATATATATATATATATATATATATATATATATATATATATATATATATATATATATATATATATATATATATATATATATATATATATAGAGAGAGAGAGAGAGAGAGAGAGAGAGAGAGAGAGAGAGAGAGAGGTTGCATTCAAATACAAACTCCCTTGAAATACAACTTGAGCTCGTGCACACATTAACATACTTACATGCACACATTTTGTATTTTAAAGGGAGTTTGTATTTTATATATATATATATATATATATATATATATATATATATATATATATATATATATATATATATATAAAATCAAATCTTAAAATTTAAATCCTTAATTTTTAATTTTTACACTTTATCATCTTTCCCTGTTTCTTTTTTAGCGGAGTAGCAGACTCATCCTTGCATATTGCATAGTAGTAGTAGTGGAGGTGGCAGAGTGAGACATGTGATTGATCAACATTTGATCTCGAGTTTTTATCTTAATTTAAAAAAAAAAAATCAATTGAGGTTGACGATGCTTGTTGTTGTCACTACTTACACATTTGTTGTGGCTTACGACTGCAACTGTTCATCTATTATTATTATTATTATTATTATTATTATTATTATTATTATTATTATTATGATGTTTAATTTTTTTTTTTCAAATATGTAACCCTTATAACGTGTATATCTTAAATAGACTCAAAGCCTATTTAAAGTCTACAATAATGCATCTTTAGTTATCTACATATTAAATATGCTATAGGCCTTTAAAAGGGCTTTAGGACAGGCCAAGTCTATTGTAGGCTCAAGCTTAAGACTAAAAACAGTCTAAATACAGGCTTAGACTTCAAATTCTCATAACAGGCTCATGCCTAATTTTTCAAAGCTCAGTATGCTCAAGCCTATTTTCATCCCTATATATTTGCTTAAAGCCGAAAGCTGAAAGCCAAAATCAGAGAGCCTATGGTATAAGGCCTAAAGCTGAAAGCCTAAAGTCGAAAGCCTAAAGTTGTAAACCGAAAGTAGAAAGTTGAAAGCCTAATGCCAAAAATTGAAAGTCAAAAGTCGAAAGCTGACCAGTTACAAGTAATTTAGACTGGTTTATCTCATTGTGGTCTTTTAGCGGTTAAGATCACAAGATACACTACACACTCTCGAGTAGGGCGTGCGAGTTTTCCCAATAAGGTAATTTTGTAATTTGACAAAAGTGAATGAATGAGTTTAATTTTTTGAAATTACAAAAATGTCATGGATTTTTACGATTTTTTTAATGCTATTTTATTATCCGACATGAAAGTTAGTCCCTAATTTATTTATTTATTTATTTATTTTACGATAAGTATTGGCCATGAAAAGTCATTCCTATAAAATGTAGAGATGAAAATTTAGAAAGGTAATGATGATTGCGTAAGTTGGGATTAGGTTTAACACTTCAGTTGGATTGGTATGTTTGGTCGGAAATAAGATATTGTACGTGGTCATTTATGAAATTAAAAAGTGATTTTTGTGTACGATGTTAAATAGTAAAGTGAAGTTGGTAAATGTTGACCAAATTTGGGAGTCGGATTAAAATTGTTTGAAATTATATTCCATAAAAAAATTAAAAATTAACTATTTTATAAACTTATAATAATGTTGAAATCATGTACATCGTATACATATTATATTGAATGATGAATTATTCTCACCTATTTTGTCTTTCTCTTTATTTTATATTACTATGTGTGTTGCATTTTTCGTAATGAGACGTATGAATTTACAACGTTACTAACATAACTGCAATAATTTAAAATTTTAAATAAAATTACCTACTAAGCAAAATATATGAATTTTTTTTAATTAATAGACATTTTTCTATTAAGAACCCATGAAAAGGAATTTAGAAGGAAAAAAAAAAATGAGTGAGAAAATGAAGCAAATGATCAAAAGAAAGAGATATTACTTTGTTGAAATCAAATTACAGAATTAAACAACTCTTTTAGCCTAGTTTCTTCCCATAGATGAGAAGGGCATTGTAGTAATTAACTATCCTCAAGAAGAAGAAGAAGAAGTGTCGGAAACTCGGGGCGAAGTGACCGGAAAAAGAGGGAGGAGCTGCGGCGGCGGCTGAGAGTCTCTAGGAGTATCGGTCCTCGGAGATGGATGAAAGTAAAACTTCTTCTCAGCAATCGCTTTCTCCTCCTCAGACGAAGACGACTTGTCGAACGGGTCTGCGGTCAACGGCGTGACGGGGCTGAGAACGAGCGCCGGAAAATCAAGAATGCTCGGAGACAGAACCTCCGGCTTCAAGAACGACCCGGAATTCAAAGGGCTTATAATTAGGCCATTCTTGAGGCTGTTCCTTCTCTCGTAGAGCTTGAACCCCTGTTTCTTGGGAGGGGTCTTGTTCGGGGGTATGGGGAATCCCTTGGCGGCGGCGGCGGAGGAGGAGGATGGGTTTTTAGCGGCGTCCGAGGAACCAGTGAGCATCTGGACAACCTGCTTGAACGATGAAGTGTCTGCTTGAACAAAGGTTGTTGGGTAAGGGTTATTAGCTACTTCAGATCTTGGGGTTAGTGGTGGGGAAGTACCACTGCCATTGTTGCTGTTTGGTGAGTTTATGGTAGAATCTTGAAGAGGTTTTGAGATGATTCCCATTGAAATTTTAGTTTCTTTCTTCATCTTTTTCCTCTCTCTCTCTCTCTATGTATCCAAAATTTTGATTTGGAGAGAAAAGAATGGGAAGGATATGATATGATTTGATGAAGAAAGAAAAGAGATATGAATGAGTGAAAAACAAGGCATATGAAAAGCATGGGGATTTCAGCTTGCTTGCTACTTTTGCTACTTTTGCCACTCCATCTACCCTTTGACTTCTTAGTGTTCTATTATTATTTTAAGGGAAAATGGCACTTTTTCCCCCTGTGTTATATGCTTATAGCACTTTTTCTCCCTGAGTTATTCATGCATTCACATTTGCCCCCTCAATTATTATAGAAGTGGCGGTTTTCCCCCCTGATAATATTAAACGGACATTTCCACCCTTAAAACAAATATTTTATTTATTTCTCTTCTTCACCAAATTATTGCTTATACGTAGGGATGACCACGGTTCGGTTCGAACTGAACCAAACACTATAGCAATCAAATTAAAAAATTTCGATTATGATTCATAACATAACCCAATATTTGGGTTTCCGTTTATTAAAATCGTGAACTGGAAAAAATGGATCCTGAACCGTGAACCGGAGGTTCAAATCGGAACAACTACTAGCAATAGCTTAAATTATAATTATAATATTTGCAAATAGTGTATGTTTTTTTCCGCATTTATATTGACTCTCACATATATGTATATATAATCGCGATTTGAGTTTTATTTTGAACCGTCGGTTCAAGATTTTGGATCCAATTTGAACGGTTGGTTCAAACTTTCTTTTAAAATTTTATTTTTTTATTTTTAAAATATTCTAAATTTAACACTTAATGTATTTTATTTTTTCAAATTGTGGTTATAATTTGTTGGAGAAGAAAAATAAATGAAATATTTATTTTAAGGGTAAATATGTCCATTTAATATATCAGGGGGAAAAACTGCCACTTAAATAATTTAGGGAGAAAAAGTGCTATAAGTATATAACAAAGGGGAAAAAAGTGCCATTTTCCCTTATTTTAATTCATTAATTTATTTGTCTCATTTTATGTTTGATTCTTATTTTTAATTTATTTTTTTTATTATATAAAGTTTATATATTTAAAAATTATATTAAAAATACTATTAAACATACAAAATGAAATTTAAGACTAATTTAAAATACAAAAAAAAAAAAAAAACAATGAAGAAATATTTGGTTTAATCAATAAAGAATAAACAGCTAAAATAAGATAAAGGAGTACAATTTTTGCATCAACTGTTTACAAAATTTTTATCAAATACGGAGTAGTTCCAAATAAAAAAAATGAATATCAAAATAAATAAATAAGTTTGAAGAACCAAATATTTTACCAAATGTTAAAGTAGAATATTGGTATTAAGTTATTAATTGATTTAAAAAGGTTATTAAACAGTGTAATATCTCTCTACCAATCAAATTCGAGTAATGAGGTGAGTGACTGCTTTTGAGTTTGTTTGGTTTGGAATAAGTGAATTGGATAGAATGCATGTGAGCCAAGCCAACTCGCTAGTCGCTCACTCTCTATTGAGTCATGGTTTAAATCGCTCGATGATAACGAGCTCAATTAGGCTTGTATACTATTATTCAATAGAGTTTTACTACATGCACTTCCTAATCTTATTTTCTAAATTTTATTTCCTGTGACGGATTTTGATTAGTTATTTTTTCATGTGGGTCCCAATACAAGTGTCTATCAAAGTTTTGTGTGTGGGAGTACAAGTTGAGAGAAAAATGGGAGTACAAATTGGGAGTAAAAAATTGGAGTACATGTAGCATTTTCCTATCCAATATAATTAGATTATTTATATCTAATATGTGTATGAAATATAAGATTGCGATTATTCATTATTGTATAGCACTAGCGTTGGCACAATATAAGAGTTAAAGAATGTCATTTCTCATAAGGGGATATGTAATATAATTCTATTCAGGGATGAATTGTTATATGAGGCTAGTTTAGGAGCATCCCAAGCTATTGTTGAAGTATCATGGCAAGTCATGGATTGGTAGTAGCCAATGTAAGGAGGAGGATAGGAAATGGGGAGACCACTAATATTTGGAACACACCCTGACTTCCGAGGCCGAACTTGTTTGTTGTTACCTTTATGCCATTGGCTCATATGTAAGTAGTTCTGAAATAGTGGATAAACTGCTAATTATACAGAGGCCAACTGGAGACAAAATCGAACTCGATTTTGATTCTTCTGTAAGGTCTTTTGGGATGAGGTATTCTATTTTTCACTTTTACCATTTATAGCATTGCACGTTGAACTTACTAAATCCTTTCAAAAAATTTCAAAGAATTGAGCTTGACACACACGCTTTACACACATTTACAAGGTGAAATGAACAATACCACACACCTCATTCAAATGTACAACCCCACGGGTTGGTGCTTGTGGGTGCTCAGGTGGCTAGTCTGCTACAGATGGATAAGAACGGGGTAGGACTAGGACTTGTTGGAGGATTTATTGGATGGGAGTGATGCAGAGTTGATCAGGAAGGTTCCAGTGAGTCCAGGCTTTGGGGATACTTGCTTCTGACCGGGTGACTTGCGGGGGGAATATTCAGTTAAGTTGGGTTACCGCAAACTCGCAGAGGGCCACATTGTTGTTGCTCCCACGTGGTTCAAACGATGGAGTGTGCTTTGGGGTTTAAATGTGCCATAGAATGTTAAGATTTTCCCGTGGAAATGTATGTGTGGGATCTTGTTGACTACGGTGGCGTTACGGGCGAGGCATGTGGATGTTGAGCTCAAGTGCCCGGTGTGCAAGCTTGGCACGGAAACTCTAAACCATGTATTTCTCTAGTGTGTTGTGGTGTGCCAGGTATGGGTGTTAGGTAGAGTGGCGGGTTGTTTTGCGACAAGGGGTTCGTTTGAGAAGGTTATGGAGGGTTGTTTTGGGATGGAGCCTAGGGGGGTGTTGTGCAAGATGGCAATCCTAATGTGGGGTGTGGGGTTGAGGAATTGGGTCGTTTAGAATGGAGTCGTGTCTTCCACGGTGGAGGTGGTGAATACGACAGCGAGGGTGCTGCCCGACTAGCAGGGTAACGGGCAAATGAGTGGAGCGGTTGTAGGATCGCGGGTGCATCAGGAGGGGGGGGTCCGAGTGGTGCGTAGTTTGCTCTGCTACGTTGTTGGTCCGTGGTTGGCAAGGGGTGATGCGGCGTGGGTTGGAGCGGTGTTGTGTGACAAGGATAAGGGGTTTATTGTTGCGGTGAAACGCTCACAGGCTACATGGATGCGTACACATCATAGGCAGGGATTTATCGCTATGGTGAATAGCCCGCTCACGGGCTACATGGACACATACACGGCAAAGGCATTAGCATGCAAGGAGGCCCTTTTATAACTTAAAGATCGGGGTGTGTCGAATGTGTGAGGTCCACTTAGACTGCTTGAATCTCATAGTGCTTTGAAAGGGCATCGTGGTGCTTTTGGCTATATTGGTATCATTGTGAGCCAGTGTCTTAATTTAATTTGTGTTCTGCTTTAGTTATGATTTCCTTCTCTTTTGTTAGGCGTTCTATGAATAGTGTTTCTGATGCTTTGGCCACGAGGGATCCTCCCAAACTAATAACCCTCCATCTTTTGTGGAGAACTTATTACTTGTTCTGGTTTAATGCATTGTTTTGGACTTTTGGTTGGTTGGTTTTAAAAAAAAAAAAAAAAAAGTATGATTATTATTAGTATCACAACCAAGACAATCTTATATAAGTTTATGCCCACTTAAAAAATTATACATGTTCAAAAACCATAAAATTCCAAGGTAAAACCATACTCTCACATCCCTAGTTAATTGTACATTCTGTTCAAACAAGTATTGAGGTGAGGAGTTAAATAACAAGAGTAAATACCAGCGGAGGTCCTCTGACTTTGGTGACACTGCCACTTTTAGTCCTCAACTTTTAAATCAACTACTCTTAGTCCTCTTACTTTTTGTTTCTAGCCATCTATGGTCCTTCCGTTAAACTTGACCATCTAATGTCGTTTTCTTAAGGATAATTCAGTCCTTTCATAATTAATAAATTAATTATTATGTTTGTCGAGTCATACCGAGATATCCCGACGTCGTTTTGGCACAACTTTCGTACCAGTTTTTGTACGTCATTTTGATTCACGAGCTAGTTTTGTACACGTTCATAGTTGGCAAACCATTGTTTGACTATTCTGATGAGAAAATTAAACATAATAATCAATAAATTAATTATGAAAGAACTGAATTATCTTTTAGAAAATGGCATTAGATGGTCAAGTTTAACGAAATGACCATAGATAGCTAGAAACAAAAAATAAGAGGACTAAAAGTGGTTGATTTAAAAGTTGAGGACTAAAAGTGACAGTGCCACCAAAGTCGGAGGACCTCCGCCGGTATTTACTCTAAATAACAACATGATGGTTTCATTAACTAAGACACACGAATGGGCATAGAGGCTTTTCATATTGGGAGATTAAAAAGAAAAGAATCAATCACCATTGCTTTAACCCAGAATGGAAGAATATTAAACATTATTTTAGGTCAGCTAGAATCATGAGAATGGAAAAACCCGAAAATCTAATGCAGATGAATCTTGGTGTGCAGCAACAAGCCAACAAGACTAGGAAAATTATCAGATCGTTATAGCATGAGGGCATTTGAACAACCTGAAAAGAATCAACTCACAGTGTCACAAGATGTTGCTGGCAATGGCATAATGGTTTCACAAGAAGTGAAGCCCGGAAGTGGATCAACCATCAGAGCAATCCAGGCCATATGAAGGATCGGATCTCTATCAAAGTCCTCTAGCCACACTTTTGAACTCGTTCAAGCAACTATGTAGCATCTTTTGTCGCTTATGAAGGGATTGGCGTTCATTCTGAAGGATATCGATTGATCCAGGGGAAACAAACATGTCCATGAATTTCTCATCATTGACAGCAAACAAATCCAATCCAAGTGCCACGAAGAGCCTCTCCCGACTGCACAGTTAGAGAAATACTTCATTCGTTTAATAGTTAGCTGACAACATAAATTAGAACATTGACTGCAATGGCAATGTCTGTATTAAGATGGCATAATGTCCAGGTATATTCTGGTGCAAAAAATTCCTTTGCAGCCCATTTTGTTAAAGATATGCACCAAAAGATTTGAAGCCACCCCGAGTTCATAGAATTTATGCAGACTCTTAGAGATGATCAAATAGTGGAGGAATTTAGAAACCTACCAAGGAGTAAGAAAGCCAGAGTTCAAAGTAGATGACACACTTTGCTCAACCAGAACGTCACGCATTCTGGCAAAATGTTTTGCAGCTAGTGAACAGATCTCTGCATAAGGTGAGGCTGATCTTGAATTAGTATCCCCACTTCCAAACAAGAGGCTTACATTTTGGCCCCTCAAATTATCAGGATTTTTGTTACTGCCAATCAGCCTAGAATGCCGTTTTCTTGCTCCAACATCAACGCAATTCACAAGTTCTTTTTTTACTCCATAGTTGGCATCGCAAGGTTGATCAGGAGATGGAGTCTCTGGTACAGTCATTTGACATTCACGAAGCGCATCTCTGGCCTCCCCAATTTTTCCAGGTGTTGTTTCCTGCCCATTCTTTTCAGGAGGCATATTTTCTTGGTCTTGTGGTATGACTTCACTGCGCAATGAAGGCCCGCCATCCGAAAGTTCAAGACAAAATGAACCAGCTGAGGCTTGATTCAAGTTGTATATAGTGTTTGAACCAGCTCCAAAAGTACCCAAGAAGTCCTCATAGCAGACCTGAGAATATGGACTAGTAACTGAATCAAGATGGTGCCTAAGAAGCTGTTTGCACTGTCTGGAGAGATCTTTTATGAAGCGGTTGTAAGACTGCCTTAGAGAGGCAAGGAAACCAACATATCCATCAACATCCCCATCTCTATGTCCATCTGCAGATCAGAGTGACCCACAAAAATAAGGAGAGTTCTTTTTTAAGAAGAAGAAAGAGTTTAAGAATGCTAAGCAAAAGGAAAGTGATATTTGTCAGAGTTCATATGCTCCTTTCACAACACTATCAACCACCAATAAGTACCACAGTGCTTTCTTTAACTGATACTTTTCACATTATCATTGAAGTTAACAGAGAAATGCATATAAATACTTCAACAGCAAACAGGTGAAAATTTATTTTAATGATGAATGTGCTCCTTTACCAGTGCATTTAATGCAGACAGCACAATTAGACTGAAGAAAAGATGGATTGTTGTTACTGGAAAAATACTTACAATGTGAATCACATCGTCGATTTCTTTCAATGGCAAGTTCAAAGAGGTTTCCTAAAACAAATGATATGCGATCACATGCTGTATCAAGAAGAGGAGAAAGCCAAGAGCGTGCGGCAGCTCTTGCAATCTCTGCAGCTGCATCTGTAACCCCTCTACTCCCACCTCGACCAGCATGAGCAAGTAAAATATTTGCTACCTGTAATCAAAATTCTTTAAAATTGCATTCTAAAGTTCCAACTTGAGGATTGCTTATTCAGAATTATAAAATTTAAAAAAAGAGATACCTTCTCCCTTGAAATGGTGGGGCAAGCAATTGAATATGTAGCACACCGAAATTCATGCATCACTCTCTCAAAAGCTGCACCTCCATAAAGGCGAAGTGTTGCATTTGGAGGTCTAATAACTGCCGAAACACCAGGCCAACTACCAATACCACTCTCTGACCGTTCCTCTTCAGTTGTTCTTCCCCATTGCTCAGGAGCAGGGTCAGCTGCTCCTTCGATAAGTGCACCCTTCAAAAACAACAAAAACAATCTCAGTACTTGGGGTACAAATAATGTGAATACATTTGTTCATAAGTTCAACACTTAAATACAATGTTACAAGCAGCAGATTCCAAAGGTATCAGGAATTATATTTTATATTTAGATGTTGGGAATAAAACTGAACACATGATTACATAAAGAAACAACATGTAGCATCAAATGCTTCATAACAAACAGTAGATGAAGATATTAGGGATTTAATTAAATGATTGGATGATGTCGATAAGACTGACCACATGATTACATAAAGCAGCAGCATGCAGCAAGGAGGATCTTCGAAGATGTGCAACATCCGAAGTTGCCTGTATTTTGCTGTCCATTCTGGCTAAATCAGCAGTTACTTCACTGCACCGCTGTTCAAGCAGGGCCAATGTTGCTGGAGTAGCTTCCTTGTATCTTCTCTGGAGCTCAGTTTCTAAATAATCTCTGAGAGAACCAAATCCAATGTAGGACCTGTATTTCTCTTCATCAAAACCCCCCTTAACAGAATCACGCAGATATCGTAATATTTCTCCATCAACTTGAGAGATTTGCCTACGGAATTCATCATTTGACACTGCACTTCGATCCTTAGGTAGGGCCACAAAATATGGACGAGTATTTTCTCCAAGGTACCCACTTGCACTCAAATAGCGATCAACTTCCCACCGGTCACTAAACTCCTACACATTAATTTAGTCACAGTCATTTCCAACTGAAGACTCATTTGAGATTAAAATTATCACAAGGTTGTTGAAGGAGAATGTGATCATGGCATTCACACTCACATGTTTTTATTTGATAATTTATCCTTATACAAGTAATATTTTTCAACAAACAACCAAAATTTTAACATTAACAGAAAGAACCAGTTGTTATGTTATTGCACTATTAAAGCCAATTTTCTCAATCAGTGGCTAAAGATACACGAATAAGGCTTAATTATTTTTACCAGTGCATTTAATACAAGCAGGTCCTAGAAAGGAAGGTTGTGTAAGTACCTTGAGCCTGTTATCAAATTTTGAGACAACAATGACCGTCCTCCTAAAAGTTGGATCAATTTCACGAAGAACATCCAACCATAGAGAAGAACACCACTCCACACTGCTCTGTTGAAGAAACAAAAGAATACGGTGAGGTGGACTAGCCAGCGACTTCACCATTGATAGGATCTCATCAGGCGTATTATCAGGTTCACCCTTCTTTGCCTGCAATTGCAATATCTTTCTATCATTATTTGCACAACAGAGAACTATTTAACTGCATACAAAATTTTGAACATTTCATCATATGCATGTTCAACAAGCCAGAGAACTTGCCTTTAGAACAAAGCCCGGTGTATCAATGATGGTAAGGTTAGGACAATGTGCATACTCTGCTCTCATGACAATGGGTTTTGAAGACACTGCAGACTTAGTTCTTTTTAATAGAACTTCGGTCCTTGACTTTATGGTATCAGCAATTACAGACGGTGAAATGATGGGACTCCCATAGTCTTCAGAATCCTCCTCCTGTATCAAATACAGACCCCAGAAGTCAATTTCTACCTCAAGAAACATCAAGTAAAATTTAACATCAAAGCAATCCCACATGGCCATATCACTACAAACGCATAACACACTGAGAAAAAAGTCATAGCTAGAGATATATAAAGTAATCTGATTTATGGATCCCTTCCATCCTCACATTCTTTTTAGTAGCTAAAATCCTGAAAGGTTGATACTAGTGACTGCCTTATTATCTGTCATTATGCTATACGATACCCTTTTCTACATTTATTGCACATTTCAATTTCCGCATGCCTCGAACTATATGATTTCAGTAAGAATTGTTAACTATATGCAAGTAGAACGCTTCATATATCCACGCTCAGAATTATTAATTCATGGAATACCTTGTAATAATTTCAAGCGATTAAAATATTCAAAAATCTCAAATTGAACCTGAAAGCGACATCGAGGCTCCAAAGAAGTTGGATCATGGACCATTTGCAGAATAAGAGGGCGTCGGGTGCCCATTTCAACTTCCCGGATATTGAACCGGAATCCTAGTAGGGCTTCGAGGAGAGAGCTCTTGCCATCGGACTGGCCACCAATGGCAACAATCTCCGGAATCGGCAATTTCTCTCCGAAGGCGACCGCAGCTGCCTGCAGCCGATTATAGGCTTCGAATCGATTCCTCATTTCAGAAGCGGAGGGAACTTCGTGGTGGCGGTGGTGGTGTTTCTTAGAATTGGAAGATGTGGCTGGAGGCCTCTCAGATGCGGGTGTCTTGGTTGGTGTAGTTTGGAAGGCATCTGTGTTCGCCATTGCTAAACTGGGAAGCGTGGGATTTTCAATTTTGAATTTGAAAATGGAGTTGGGGGAGCCGTTGAAGAGCTAGAAGGAAAGGGGAGCTTGGAAATTTGAAATAGATCGCGCTTACTATGACGATATACGCAAATTATGCAGGTGACTCGAGTCCAAAACGACGTCCTTTTTTTAAAAAATGTGTCATTTTATTCGTTTGTGCCATTATGAATCTATATGGAATTATGAATATAAGTTATAAAATTATGAACATAAAGCTCTGACATTATGAACTTACAATTATGAACATATAGTGATAAAATTATGAACATAGAGCTCTAAAATTGTGAACATCGAGTTTTGAAAATTATGATTTTACAGTTATTGCATTATGAATGTACAGTTACGAAATTATGAATGTACAGTTATGAAATTATGAACACAGAGCTCTGACATTGTGAACTTACAATATGAACATATAGTGATAAAATTATGAACATAGAGCTCTAAAATTGTGAACATAGAGCTTCGAAAATTATGAATGTACAGTTACGAAATTATGAATGTACAGTTATGGAAGTATGAATGTACAGTTATGAAATTATGAACATAGAGCTCTGACATTATGAACTTACAATTATGAACATATAGTAATAAAATTATGAACATATACTCCTATAACGAAGCAATCTGAAATTAAAAAAAAAAAAAAAAAAAAAAAAAAAAAAAAAAAAAAAAAAAACATTGCCTAACGGCACTGTTACCCGTGTCCAGCATGCATGCTAGACACGGGTCCATAACGATTGGACGATATATATTTGGGTTTGCAATTATTGGGCCGCCCTTTCAACATTAACAATCATATCATATGGCCCAAAAAAAGAAGAAAGTCTAGTAATGGCCCATATATAGCCCAAGCAATCGTGTGGATCATATTTTGTATATTGTAAAATAATGTACATTCAATACAAAAATAATGTACAAAATGTATAAAAATAGTGTACATTGTATTCAAGAGATGTACATTATTTTTGTGCTGAGTTATAATGTACATTCAGTACAAAAACAATGTACATTCAGTACAAAAACAATGTACATTTAGTATATTAAAAATGTACTTTTTGTTATGGTTCACATAACACTGTGTGAACCATGGTCCACATAATAATTTGCCTAGTCCAAGCCATTGCTATATCATAGACCAGAGTTCATATTGCATTGTCGACTCTGGTTCAAAAATTATGTGTATACAATTAATTTATTATGTGTTTCAATTAATAAGTATTGTGTCTATAAATAGATTGAAGACATATAATTTGTTAATTACAGACACATAATATGTTAATTACATGCACATAATATGTTAATTGTGTATTATGTGTATGTAGTTAACATATTACGTGTCTTCAATTTATTTACAGTTTGTTAACTATATGCACATAATAATTTGATATTAGAACCAACCCATGACCTATTGCATGTGGTCAACTCTGATACCATGTTAAAGTAAAGAAACCGATAATAACCAACCACTAAGTCACTAACATACCACTGCTAATTGAAGAATGTGTTTCATATCAATTAAAAGCCTTTTATGATATTTGGTATAGAGGTAGCTTTGATACCAAATTAAATGATGTTATATATCTCAATTAAAAGTTTAAGTTGATAGTTAAAGTGCACATATATGTTTATATATGATATGCTCAACAAAATGGAGCTAACCATGGGTCCATGTTGATGACCAAATCATCGATGCCACCACGCTTAGCTCGAAGTTGACATTGTCGATCTCGTCCTCAATGCCAACCACACACCTCGAAATGAAGTTGAGTATGTCCATGCAGATGACGTTGCCCTATCGATGAAATTGTTCCGGCGGAAATATATATATATTCTGGAAAGAGTTAATACCCAAAATCGTCCTCGATTATAGTGATTTTTTTCAATTTCGTCCGAAACGACTTTGGTGACCTAATATCGTCCCAGATTTTTGTGTTTCGCTCAATTTAGTCCCAAACTTTTGTGTTTTTGCTCAATTTAGTCCCTCATTTGTTATTATGTCCATTTGGTGTTAAATAAATAGACAATTCAGTAATTTTAATATTGGCATCTCTTTACTCATAGACATGTGAACTGCGAAATCCTTTTTTTTTTTTACGAATTACTCCCAGAATTACTCCTAAAACTGCGAATATAAAATTTGATTTGCAGGTCCGGGAGTAATTCTGGGTGTAATTCGTACAAGAAAGAGAAATTTTGCATTTCACAAGTTGAAAGTACAGAGAGATCAATATTGACATTACTGAATTGTCCCTTTATTTAACACTAATTTGACGGAATAACAAATGGAGGACTAAATTGAGCGAAACACAAAAGTCTGGGACGATATTAGGTCACCAAAGTCGTTTAGGACGAAATTGAGAAAAACCACTATAGTCGAGGACGATTTTGGGTATTAACTCATTCTAGAAATGCCTAGTGCCAACTAAAGGTCAACTCTAGAAATGCCTAGTGCCAACTAAAGGTCAACTCTAATTAAAGACTTACCTCTTTTTTTTTTTTTGAGTTAATACCCAAAATCGTCCTCGACTATAGTGATTTTTCTCAATTTCGTCCTAAACGACTTTGGTGACCTAATATCGTCCCAGACTTTTGTGTTTCGCTCAATTTAGTCCTCCATTTGTTATTCCGTCAAATTAGTGTTAAATAAAGGGACAATTCAGTAATGTCAATATTGATCTCTCTTTACTTTCAACTTGTGAAGTGCGAAATTCCTCTTTCTTGTACGAATTACACTCAGAATTACTCCCGGACCTGCAAATCAAATTTTATATTCACAGTTTTAGGAGTAATTATGGGAGTAATTCGTAAAAAAAAAAAAATGATTTCGCAGTTCACATGTCTATGAGTAAAGAGATGCCAATATTAAAATTACTGAATTGTCTATTTATTTAACAACAAATGGACAGAATAACAAATGAGGGACTAAACTGAGCAAAAACACAAAAGTATGGGACTAAATTGAGTGAAACACAAAAGTCTGGGACGATATTAGGTCACCAAAGTCTATTAGGACGAAATTGAGAAAAACCACTATAGTCGAGGACGATTTTGGGTATTAACTCATTTTTTTATTACAAAGGAAGGGGATACCCATACACTATCTACGCCTACACCGAGGCTCAAACCTACCTAAGACATCCCACATAAGGGGCCAATCGAATACCAGTGGACCACAAGCCACTAGGTAGACTTACCTCTTTATTGAGTTGCTCTTTACTTTACTTTTTTAAATAATAATAATAAATGGTTATTATTCGTTGGAAAACTTTATTTAAAGAAAAAAGCATTTGTATTCAACTACATTTCTAATTTATAAAATATGAGATTATTCAAAATTTAATGTTGAGTGATCGTAGTTTTTTGGTAATCTTAGAGTGAATATGTATGTTGTGATGGGCAAGTAGATGTGGCTATGGCTGATAGTTAGTGGTGTGTAAAATAATTAATTATATTAGTGGTTGTTTTTACGATTTTTGGATCGTTATTGATTGACGAACATAACTGGTTGGATGATGGAATAAAATATAAATAAATTGAGGAAAAAATAAATTGGACATAATATTTTTAACATGGAAACAGAAAGGTAAAATTTATGAAACTTTTAGAACACTGTCAAACCAAATTCGCTATCTTTGTAGTAATTTTGTACATATATGTATGTTTTTTTGCATGAAATTTTGGGAATAAGAGAAGCTTCTCATGTCTATTGATTGAGCTGGTGGAGAGACATAGAGGAGCGATGAAAAGGATTCTTCTAGTTTGATCATTTTCGTTTTTTATTATAGCCTTTTATAGTGAAAAAGTAGTACTGCATATGGTAATTGGGATGTTAGGCTCTGTTTTAGACACTATTTTGAAAGTTAGTCCTTTTTATAGTGTTCTTATATCCAATTTTGATGTGGTTAGTAGAGCATGCGTCTAAGGTATTTTGTTTAAATATTTTGCAAAGGTTAAGTCTAACTTATTGATTGTTAATCATGGCCTTGTCATATATAGCAAAACAATGCCCGCATGGGTAGCTCAATTGGTCATAGAGGTGAAATTTTGGAAGAATGATCAGGGATTGAGTCTCATCAGCAGCAGTGTGAGAGCAACCTCTCAAAGTGAGGGGATTTTTTGTGTGTAGTGAGCACCGGTCTAGCCTCTGTGGTTCATGTTTAGTTGAGTCACCATGATTTACATCCTCTCAAATGCTCTGACGGGCCCTTAGGGTTGGGGTTTAACCTTTTGGCAGAATATATAGCAAAACAAAGATATTTTGAATGTTAATGAAGCAAAACTTTATAGAATTGTTTTGGCTAAAGTGTCATCCCGCACTCGCACCATGAACCTTCCTGATTATTCATGTCACACCCTGACCTTTCAAAACGTGTATTTCGATCCACAAAACATTAATTTTTTTTTTTACTTAAAATTGTTTATAGATTTATCAGTTTACCTGATGACATGACGCGGATTTCCTGCTGATTTGGAGTCTATGAAGAGACCATGGCCAGCTTCTCTAGACGAAGAGGCCAACCATGACTTCTCCGTCAGAATGTTTTCCTACTACTCGTATTTACAACATTGTTCTAAGATCATCTGAAATTGGAAAAGCATGGGAGGCAGGCCAATAGGTTGTTTATTCCCCCACTATGCCATTCCCCACCTTCGCATATGCGTAGGTGTGGACTCCAACTACCATAGTTCGAGTCTTGATTCAAAACATGAACTTTGTTGACATAACATTGATGGCATAGAAAGATGTATGATGAAGTGCATGATATGACAATGAAAACGTAGAAATAATAATAATAATAATAATAATAATAATAATAATAATAATTATTATTATTATTATTATTATTATTATTATTATTATTATTATTATTATTATTATTATTATTATTATTATTATTATTAGCATTTGGTTTATTAATAAGTCAATTTTTTTTTTTTTTGAAAATTATATGGTGCTATATTAAAAATAGGCCGAAATAATATCTTGTGAGAGTAAATCCCAATACATAGCAACAGGTTGCTGATAAGCCGTAGTAGCTAAAGCATGAGCTAAATAATTATCTAATCTAGGAATTAAATGAAACGAACAAGACTGAAATAAAGATGCAGGCAGCCTGCAGTTGTCAATGGCATAGCCTAGGTATGTACGCAACGCAACGGTTGGTGTGGTAAGATAGCGATGTAGCATTAGACAATCCGTGTATATCTCGACAATTTGTTCTCCCCGATCCTTCAACCATGATAATGCCTCGGCCATAAGCGGCGAGGTACAATTCCGGAGTGGTCCGGCATGAGCCGAAACATAAGCTCCATTCGTGTCTACTAGAACAGCTCCACCCGCAGCTTGGCCTGTCTCTGGCAAGAATCCCGCATCGACATAACAAATTCTCTTGGGCGACCCATCGTGCTGCTCGACAATGTGCGGCTCGGCGTGGTTCAGTTCGGCATTTTCCTGCGCCAAAGGCGGCTCGGTCGGCAGTGGGGCAGCACGGGCTACAGGTGGTGGATGCGCCCGGGTCCACGACTCCTTGGCTGCAGCGGCGATCCTGAGTATGGTGATCGGTCGTGGTAACTTTGCTTCCCAAACCGCCATATTCCTTGCTCTCCATATATTGTAAAGAATTGCTGCTGCATATAATATTCCATCAGAGTCTAGAATATTTAAAAGCTCACCAAACCAAACATGAAAAATATTTGTGTCAATGTTGGGAATTGTAAGGTTGGATTGTTCCCAAGTGTTCTTAGCAAAATCACACAACACTAAGGCATGCATTGTGTGTTCTTGTAATATTCCACACATGGCACAATGTGGATCCACATCCACTCTCTTTATAAGTAGGTTGGTTGTGGTAGGCAAAATATCACTAATGGCTCTCCAGATGAACATTTTCCATTTTGGGGGGATTTTGAGCTTCCAAAAATTCAACCATTCTGCAAATGTCCCATTATTATTTTGATGATTTCCAACAATTCGCCTGTATCCATTCTTAACAGAGTACATTCCTCTCAGGTCTCCATGCCAGTACCAAGTGTCATCATAACCCGGGGATACAGGTATTTTCATAATATTCTCCACATCATTGGGTTGGAACAAATCTGTTAAAATTGAGGGATCCCATGTGCCCGTTTGTTGATCAATCAAACCTGCCACTCTGGCTTCCTGCAGCTGTGCTGACATTTCTGTTTGTACCATAGGGTCATGATCATCTTGTAACCAGGGGTGAGCCCATATGAGTGTAGACTCGCCATTACCAATTCTGCGCCTTACCCCACTGCAAACTATACTTTTTGCTGCCATAATACTTCGCCAACAGAAACTGGGATTATTTCCTATCTGTGCATCAAAAAAAGATCCTTTAGGAAAATATCGGGCTTTATACACACGAGCCACTATAGATTCAGGTTTAGTCAACATCCGCCATGCCTGTTTCCCCAGCATTGCTAGATTAAACGCACGTAAGTCTTTAAAACCTAATCCTCCATACTTCTTTGGGATACACAACTTATCCCAAGCCTTCCAATGTATTCGCTTGTCAGTTCCAGAATCCCACCAATATCGATTCATAGTTCTCTCTATTGCCGTACACACAGATATATGCAGCAAAAAAACACTCATCGAAAACGTAGGCATAGATTGTGCTACTGTTTTCAACCGTATTTCCTTACCTGCCTGAGTCAGCAGCCTCTTATTCCATGATCCAATCCTTTGGCGGATTTTGTCCTCAATATATGCAAAAACTGCTTTCTTGTGCCTTCCAACAAAAGAGGGGAGTCCCAAATATTTACCAAAATTCGGGGCCTGTGTCACTCCCAGAATCTCAGCCACATTTTCCCTATCAGTCATACTTGTGTTCTTACTATAACATATACTTGACTTATGATAGTTTACTGCCTGCCCTGACAGATCCTCATACACAGATAGGCATTTTTTGATTTCACTTGCTTCCTCCACATTAGCTTTAAAGAATAAGAGGCTGTCATCTGCAAAGAATAAGTGTGAAATTGGGGGAGCACCTCTGGCTACCCTGCATCCATGTAATGACCCCACAGTATGTGCCTGCTGTAATAATAGGGATAGACCTTCTGCGCAAATAATGAATAGATATGGGGACAAAGGATCCCCTTGCCTCAAACCACGTGTTGGCACAATAGGATCACATCTTGAGCCATTTACCAGAATATTGTAAGAAACTGAGGTTACACACTTCATAATTAATTCCACCCAACCACCATGAAACCCCATAGCCAGCATCATCTTTCTAAGGAAAGACCATTCCACACGATCATATGTCTTTGCCATATCCAGCTTAAGAGCACTCCATCCCCCCACTCTACACTGCTTCCTATTCAAAAAATGCCCTACCTCCGCAGCCAGTAGGATATTATCCGTTATCAATCTATCTGGGATGAAAGCACTTTGTGACTCAGAGATTATTTCTTCCATCAATGGTTTCATTCTGTTAGATACCATTTTTGCCAAGATTCTGTAAATCACATTACTGAGAGCTATAGGGAGCAGGTCACTCACTAATTCAGGGGTGTTCTTCTTAGGGATCAAAACAATATCAGTATCAGTCAACCCAGGTGGGAAATCACATGATTCAACACAATTCACAATAAAACTCGCCACATCCCCCCAACCACATCCCAAAACTGCTGATAAAAACCTGGATTCATTCCATCCGGGCCTGGTGCCTTATCTGGGAACATTGCAAATAGTGCATCCTTAACCTCCTCCAACTCAAAGGGTCGTAACAACGACTCGTTCTGTGCCTGAGTGACACGCGGATTTACCCCCTCAAAGAAATCCTCCCCAGATCCCGGTGCTCCAGAGGAGAAAATATGGTTATAATATTGCAAGATAACATTTTTTCATAGGCTCCCCCTCCACCCACTCCCCATCATCATTCATTAGTCTAGAAATAGTATTAATAAGTCAATTAGTTTACTTTATACATAATATACCCTCACACGACTATCAAATGCAAGATGTTTATTAGTGGCGCACTCGGAAAATAAACATATGTTTTTTTGAGTACTGACAAATAAACATATGTTAGTTTTAAGGGTCGCTAGCTTTTAGTACATTAACCTATTTTGAAACTAAATTATTGTTAAACTTTATTTATCAAAATCCCCTCAACACTACATATTATTTTATTCACAATGTTCAAATCTAAAACTTTGCTCACAATAGTACAACATTTTATTGTTAAACTTTATTTATCCAAAAACTTTGTGGCCAGGCACATAAATGTGGCTCTCCCAAACGGGAGGTCACAGTGGAGGCATTAACTCTGATTTTTGTGCAAATACTACATGTTAGCTTGACTACAAAATAGGGAAAAAAATGGCATTTACAAAACCAATAATCAATCAACATACATGTTAGATACTACATGTTAGCTTGACTACAAAATAGAAAAAAAAATGACATTTACAAAACCAATAATCAATCAACATACATGTTAGATTGTTAGAGAATATAAAATAAGGAGAATGGTAAAATAAGCATTTAAACTATTTAAAAAATAATTATACCATCGAATTACCAAAAAGAAACTTCATATTAACCTTTGAACTGTTTTTTTTTTTTTTTTTTTTGGGGGGGGGGGGGGGGGGGGGGGGGGGATACCTTTGAACTATTTTTAAAAATGCAATTAGCATCTTTTTCTATTTAAATTACTATTATTATTGCATGCTATGTTGATATGACTTTCACATGTAATTTTCTTTGTATACATGGATGCCTTTGTTGACACTTAAATTTTGATAAATATTGATTATTTATTAATATAAATATATTTGAATATATTTATGGATAATATTGATATTATCTAATTTGTTAATTTAGATAATATCAAAAGAGTTTGAGTTTATCAAAACTCTTCTATCCTACAACGGAGGTTTCATTTCTATGTAGTCACAAAAAAATCCTAGGAAAAATCATGTAAACATCTAAAAATATATATTATTCAGAGATTACAATAAAAATGTGATCCTGAAAGTAAAAGCCCCTCCTCCTCCATATGTTGATACATGTTGATCCAAACCTCTATTGAAGATCAAGCCGTTTGAACCCGGAGGCCCTTCAAGAAGAACAAGCCCTTCTTTGAAGATTAAACCACTTGAAACCCGGAGACCCTTCAATGGTGGAGTGCTCAAGACATCAATTGGAGAATCAGAGGACCATTCAGAGACTTGTACCCACACCGCATTGATTGATACTTGACATGTAACCGGAATTTTGAGTTCAATATATATTATTCAATTTTCTTTGTTCACAAATTGGCACGCCCAGTGGGACAGCTCTGCCTCTCATCTCTTCATAGGCACTTACAACCGATATGGGAGCAAACCCCGTATGAAATTTGAAATGGAGGAAACTAAATGATACTCCTTGGCACGAGTTTAAACGGCGTCATATTCATGCTCCTTGGCACGAGTTTAAACGGCCTCATATTCATGCTCCTTGGCACGAGTAAAAACGGCCCCATATCTTTCAAGGCTCCTTAGCACGAGTTGAAACGACCTTATATCTTTAAGTTGTAGTGTCGAGACTTCCTTGCACTACATACTTTCAAGTGGTATATGCTATCAAGTGGTGTACAAGCAAGTCTCGAGGGGGCATTTGTAGACACTTAAATTTTGATAAATATTGATTATTTATTAATATAAATATATTTGAATATATTTATGGATAATATTGATATTATATAATTTGTTAATTTAGATAATATCAAAAGAGTTTGAGTTTATCAAAACTCTTCTATCCTACAACTATAAATAGGAGGTTTCATTTCTATGTAATCACAAAAAAAAATCCTAGGAAAAATCATGTAAATATCTATAAATATATACTATTCAGAGATTACAATAAAAATGTGATCCTGAAAGTAAAAGTCCCTCCTCCTCCATATGTTGATACATGTTGATCCAAACCTCTATTGAAGATCAAGCCGTTTGAACCCGGAGGCCCTTCAAGAAGAACAAGCTATATATACAAGCCCTTCTTTGAAAATTAAGCCACTTGAAACCTGGAGGCCCTTCAATGGTGGAGTGTTCAAGACATCAATTGGAGAATCAGAGGACCATTCAGAGACTTGTACCCACACCGCATTGATTGATACTTGACATGTAACCGGAATTTTGAATTCAATATATATTATTCAATTTTCTTTGTTCACAGCCACGTTGAAGCCATCTCAATATAACTTGTATTTCTCTTTAATTTTATTTACACAAAAAATATTTTAAAAAATTAAAATAGCCTGCGTGACATTCATGTATTTAAAAAAAAAAATACACATAATATAAAATTCTTGTTAACATAATTATAACAAGTAATTTGTAAGTAAAATGAATTATAATTTCACTTTTAAAAAATTAAAATTTTGATGGTTAACATAAGTTGGAATAAGTTTAAAATTGATCACTGAACGTAACTTGAAAATGCAATTAGGCCACTGAACGAAAAAAAAAATGTAATTAGGCCACTGGACATTTCTAATGTATGCAATTTCACCTGATAACAGGTTACTATCAATTTTAACCGGTTACCTGCTTACGTGGTTTGCATTTTTAATAATTTTTAATAAATTTTTAAAAAAATGACAGGCGACCCCCCTCTTCTTGAGGGATTTAATTTTTTTTTTTAATTTTTTAAATTTATTATTAAAAATTATTAAAAATGCCAACTCAACTTTCACGTAAGCAGGTAACCTTTTAAAATTGATTGTAACCTGCTATCCGGTAAAATTGCATACATTTGGAGTGTTCAGTGACCTAATTATACATCCAGAATTGCATAACTATACATCCATAACTTCAAAACTATAAAATCTAGAATTGCATAACTACACCATGCATAATTACATATCCATAATTTAATAACTATAAATCCAGAATTGCATACCTATACATCCATAATTTCATAACTAAAATTTCAGAATGAATGAACTAAAAAATAAAAAATAAAAAATAACATAATGTTGTTGCTGGGAATCGAAAGTGATTTTTTTTTTAAAGTAGGACGCGTGTTTTAATACAAAACGATGTCGTTTTTGCATCTTTATGCACCATGCACAGCATAATTTGCTCCAATCCGGCCTGACAGAACATATGAGGGAAGATGTAAATCACGATGACTCAATGGCTCAGCAGGTAGAGTCAAATCTCAAATGTCGATGCATACAAAGAATTTACGACTTTGAACATAATCTTTACACTGTCGCCATCGAAGTTTAAATATTGATCTCTTCTCTTAAATATCATCTATTGAACCATTGAACTAAGCTCGTGCGGACTAAAAATATGCCAAAAGTTGACTGAGTGATTGGGAGGGGTGTGAATGTGGCCTGGCGGGGAAGGGAAGAGTCGGCCGACGGCATGTGAATAACTGTGATGGAGGGGAAGTCAACCACATGGCCAATATTTCTAGTCATCAAAATGGACGGCCACGATTGCATTGACAACACTACAGCTTTTCAGCTATGATCTAGCATGAGACGGCGTGTAGCAATCACGGTATGCAATCATAATGCCCGCCGGGATACCGGATCCTTCCCACGTGTAACGTGTTGACTCAGCAACTCACTTCGCGGTCAAGCAATTTTTAATTAATTAATTAATTAATTTCTTTCTTCCTAATTACTCCATTACATTTTTTAATTTTTGAACTTTGACCCCAAAAACTTTTTTCCCCGCGCACTGTTTTCTTTCCTTCTTTTATTTTTATTTATTTTTTCTTTAAATTGACAGCCATGTTATAGCTGTTGTCTTCGTAGATCGTAAAATTTCCCGCATTTTTATAAATATATTTCACTCGTGTGATTGTGTTAGATGTTGGTGAGAATAAGATTCAATTATTTTTTAACGAAAAAATTCACAATTTTTTTAAATCTACAAAAAGGGGGACACGCAATAAATTTAAATACTAGCTAGGGACTAACGAAAATGCTAGCTACGAAAAAATTCACAATTACTAACGAAAACTTACATTAGATAAATGATCTTAGTGAATAAAGAAATATGATGAGGTAAATCAGTCTACATCCATTGGTGATCGAACTTGAAACCTTGTACTCCGTAGTTACTAAAAATATATAGCATGACCAACTTGATTGAGTAAAACATATCAATTTACATTTTAATTCATTCGGACAACCACTTTTCAGCATTTAACATATTCAAATGTAATTTTCTTTTTAAATTCTTATCAAACATATTTATACTGTCTCTGTAATCACTTATTCTGATATCTCCTTTCTAAAATAGAAAGAGTAAAAATATTTTGATCATATCAAATAGTTGAAAAAAAAACAAAAAACAAAAACAAAAACAAAACAAAAAAATGTATGTGGTAAAATTGCACCCCTATTACTGTTTTTTTTTTTTAAATACTACTGACTCTATTACAATGTAGTATATGTTCATAGTTACTTTCTCAATCTAATGAAATACACTGAGACT